TTCATCATCTGTAGAACAGGGCTGGTAACAATATCTGTCCCATGGGACTATTATGAGATACTGCACGCAAAGTGCTGCCTGGGTACAGTATGTGCACCATCAATGTTCATTACTCTTGCTCTTCCCTGAGTGTCCTGATTAGTTTACCCTCAAGCAAGCAGTACTACAGTCCCAAGACTCCACGCTGTTGCTAACCACTGATCCTGAATCCATGTAACTTGATCATCACTGTCCCTGCTGGACTTGCTGTTTATGCTTTGCTTCTAACCATGCAGCTGCTGCAGTGGTCACCTCTGAGGGAACTGCCCCACTGCAGGCCCTCTCAGCTCATCTGTGGCAGGTCCAACTTCTTTTGGAGCTGCCATTTCATGCTAGAGATCTGGTGGCTGTCCACGTTTGCTTACAACCCTCTCCTTTTTTGGAGCTCTGTTCATTCTTCTGATTACACAACAGGAGCACAGCTCTCAGAGGCTAATCCTATTAATACCTTGCTTTGTCTTTGACTATTTGTAAAAGATTCACTAACATCCTTTTCCAACAAGGAAGGAAGGAATGGAAGTTCCCCTAGTTCAGGATATTTGCTGGGTGTTCCCTGCACTGTTTCTTTTCTGCTGCCTGCTTTGAAAGAACTGGTTTCAGAATATGCAACCACTAGGGGGCAGGGGTGTTTCGCTCCAGACTCATTACCTTTTTCCTCCTTGTAATCTCAATTACAGCCAAGATAACAGTTGCTTTCAAAATGAAAGACTTGCTTTTAAATCAAATTGCTTATCTATATGAAATTCAAGGTGAACAGTAAATTTCATGTACAGTCTCTTGAAAATTCACTGTGATGTCACTAATTCCAGCAGAGAGTCCTCACAGGAGTTATATTACTAAAGTAGTTTTATAGCCTTTGGCTTGAAAGGGCATGGGAAAAGTAAATAAACCTCAGCCTGTTTAGGGCACAGGCAAAGCTGATGGTTTTCCTCTCCAGTTGTTAACACCCAATAGGGCAAAGGTCCACTGGGTTAAGAATTCATGGACTCCTAGGCTATCATTCCATTAGTAGGATTGGAGACACATTGCTCATTTCCCAGTGATGTCCAAAAAGGCTTTCTTGGGGAAGATGGAATTTCAGTAGCTTCTTGAATGAGAAGCAGGTATAAGGGCAATGCTTTTTTCAATTACATTCCCACAGGAATGAACCTGCCTAGTGGAATTCTCTTAACAAAACTGAGTGGGAGGTACAAAGAAGAAAGAAAAGGTAAAAGCCAGGAGTGCTGAATAAAACCCTCATCTTAGAGTATGGGGGTTCAAGAGATGCATTCTATAGTTGTTGTACAAGAAGGTGTTTAATATACAACTTATATTTACCTAGGTTTATTTACCCAGGTTAAATGTAAATCTAACACCGAGGAACAAACTATATTGGGTTATAACTTTCATGGGAGGAGAAAGGAGAGGGAAATAGAATGGTGAGGATGTCAATAGGCTAAATCTCAAGTACTGAAACAGAGACCACAGATAATGCCTAAAATTAAAAGAGCAAAAACTAGCACTATAAGCATGTTATTTAGACATATGGAGGAAATCACCATGTGAACTAAGTGCAGAAGTGGTTAATTGTCCTTGCTTCTGTAGAAGAGTACAGGAAGGGGCTGAATTGGGGAGTGGCAGTACTGTTTCTAACCATGACTTGTTTTATCCTGAAGAACAAGCAAGAATTGACAGATATTAGGCTAAAATAGGAATCTGGATTCCTGGGGAAAACTACCACTGAATTCCTAATTTGTGTCACTATATCTGATTGGATTATAAAATCTAATCATTTGCTTATTTACTTAGGGCTTGCTCTGGTATAACACTACTGCTGGTTAGAAATTATAGGCTTCTCTTTCCACACATACATGTTACTTAACCAAAACTGGCATTTTTTAAACAAGAATCCATTTCAGTCACTATTTTCATAGAAGATCATCAGTGTTTTTCTAGCATAAGCTAAAAGACTACTACTCTTTGCAATAAACTAGAACTCTAAAGAGCAAATTAATCCATCTTTCCTTCCTCTGTAGCATTTTAGCTGGAGTTCTGACCATGCATTCTCCTAGCAGAATATGGGCACTCTAGATGAGTAAATCTGCTAGGTCTGACCCTCAACACTCTGTTCTTTACCTTCTTTTCAAATCCACATCCAACCCAATACCATTGACAGGTCATCCTTCAAAATATGCCAGAATTTGACAGTTCTCACCATGCCCACTCTTAATATTCTAGTTTGAGTGATCATTGTCTCTCACTTTGGACTGCTGAAAAGCCTGGTAATTACTTCCATCTTGCCTCCTATCATTCTCCATGCAGCAGCCAGAATGATCCTTTTTAAGTGTAAGTCACTGTGATAATTTGTAGAACATTGACCTAATAATGTACCCACCGCACCTCACTTTCTACCTCTTGCCCTCTCATTCACCTCTCCCCAGCCACAACGGTCTCCTGGTTGTTCCTAGACCCTGTTGAACGTATTCCTGCCTTCCACCTGAAATGTTCTTCTCCCAGATAATTAAAATGGCTTGCCCTCTCATTTCCTTCAGATTCTGCTTTGCCTCCTTATCAGAGTTCTTTCCTGACCACCTAATATAAAATAGGCATCTCTCCAGCACTCTCCAACCCCCAACCTTGCTTAATTTTTCTCCATAGTACTTATCACCAGGAACATTATGTATATAGTTTCTGTATTGTCTGTGTTTTCCATCAGAATATAAGCTCTAGAATAATTTTTCACTGCTGTATACCTAGTGCCTAAAGATACCTGACATGTAACAGATGCTCGATAAATTGTTGCTTCCATGTCATATCCAACACCACACTATGGGTAGATAATATATCTTACAGCATTGTTTCCCCAAGTGTGAGACCTATTTATGAGGGATGATTTTAGATAGTGTAAAGGTATGCATTAAATAACACTGACTCAAGAGAAGATCATCTTTTCAATGTTTTAATGGCTTTCATTATGTCAAGAATGTCTTTAGTGTTAGTTTGTCTCTAATATTTGATAATTCTTCCTTTTAAAGAATAGAGAATGGGCCTTAATTTAGAGCCTACTAAGAGTCTTCTGTAGGGAACAGTATTTGGCCAGATTTAATAAACTTGGTTTTGTTTTCATTGTATTTATTTTTAAGGGCACCATTTATTTCGATTATGTAACTAGTAACATGTCAATCTCATTTAAATCTTGCAACAACTCTTATGAGAGAAGTATTATTTTGCATGAGTAAACTGCAGATGAATTTCCTTTGAGACCAAAGTTTCCTTCAAGATAAAATTCACCATTTTAAATACTTTAAACTATACAATTTGGTGTTTCTTAGTATATGCACAATGTTGTGTAACCATGACTACTATCTAATTTCAGAACAGCCTTATCACCCCAAAAAAGAAACTTCAAACCCTTTAGCAATCATTCCCAATCTCCTCATTCCTCACAGCCCTAAACAACCACTAATTTTTCTGTCTCTAGACATTTGCCTATTCTGGACATTTCACACAAATGGAATAATATATGTGGTCTTTTGGGACTGTTTTATTTTTTTCACTTAGCATAATGTTTTCAAGGTTCACCCACGTTGTAGCATGTATCAATACTTCATTCCTTTTTTATGACTGAATAAATACTACACTGTATGAACCACCATTTTTGTTTGTTCATTAGCTGATGGACATTTGGGTTGTTTCCACTTTTTGGCTATTACAAATAATGCTGCCAGGCACTTCATGTAGTCAATTCATGTAGAGTTGATCCTTAAACAACGATGTGATTAGGGGTGCCAATGCCCCTGCATTGTTGGAAATCTGCAAACAATTTTTGACTCCCCAAAAACTTAACTACTAATAGCCTACTGTTGATGGAAGCTTACTGATGACATAAGGTTAACATATATTTGATATGTATTATATACTGTATTTTTATAATAAAGTAAGCTAGAGAAAAATGTTTTTCAATTGTCTCAAATCTGCAAAAAAAATTTCAACATATTTAGTGGAAAAAAAATCTGCATATAAGTGGACCCATAGTTCAAACCCAGGCTGTTCTGTTCAAGGATCAACCGTACAAGCATTTGTTTGAACATCTGTGCTCAGTTCTCATCGGTATGTATCTAGTAGTAGAACTGCTGGGTCATATGGTTCTTCTAGTTAACTTGTAGAGGAGAGGTCCAACTGTTTTCCAAAGTGGGTGTACTATTCTGCACTCCCACCAGCAGTGTATAAGTGTTCCACTGCTCCACTGGAAATGGGACTGTCCGTTTTTCAATAAAGTTTAGACACTCAAGTATTTCATTGTGGTTTTAATTTGCATTTCCCTAACGACTAGTGCTGTTGAGTATTTTTTCAAATTATTTTTGACCATTATGTTTATACTCAAGAGCCTTTGCCCATTTGTAAACCGGGTAGTCTTTTTGCTGTTAAACTGTAAAAGCTTTCTTCTAAAATAAGTTAAAACTATGTATTTAAATAAAAATATGAGGCAAACAACAGTGCAAGTGGGCAAAAACAATGAAGGCAATATATAACTCAATGACTAGTTCCAGCAACACTGGCTCAGTGGCTAAGAGCAAGAATTCTGGTGCCACACCATCTACCCAGCTCTACTTATAAAGTGTTTTTGGACAAGATACTTAACTTCTTTGAGATTCAGTGTCTCCGGCTTTAAAATGGGTCCCTATCACCTCAAAGTTCATGAAACAAATGAAACGACACCACGTGAAGCGCTTACTTCAGTGCTTGGCGCGACTAAGCACTTTTCACTGTAAGTATTACGACAAGCGAAGAAGCCCGAGGCTCTTCAGGTTCAGCTCAGGTTCCGCTTGCCGAGGTCCCTAACCGCAGGAGGAGACCACCCCACCTTCGGCGTCAGAGCACATAGGCCTTTCCGCGCATGTTCCATTCTCCACAACCTTGTGCGGGCACCGCCCCAAACCCGCAGGCGTTGTGACCGCGCAACCTAACTTCCGTTTCCGGGGGCGTTGAGGCCACTTCCGGCGGCGTGACCTGGGATTGCTGGGCCGCGGACTGCTGCAGCCGGAAGGGTCGACACCGGGGGCCGGTAACCCGCGGCAGGTGGGAGCCCTCGGCTATGGCGCCGCTGACAGTCGGGAGGGAGGGGTCACCTTCGCCTTGCGCCCCGAGCCAGCGCCCGGCTGGACTTTAGCCCGGTCCGATTGCGGATCCCTTCTTGCTGTCTCCTGGCCTTCACGCGCTTCTCAGGATTCTGGTGCCGAGGGCCCTGCGGGTGGGCATCTGGAATCTGGAGACATGGGTATTATTCCAGCCCGCGCCACTGTTTGGCTCTCTGACCTTGGGCAGGTTACGACCTTCGTGGGCTTCAGCCGCCTTATTTAGAATATGGAAGTCGTACGGTGATTGTGAGCTCTTTGAGGGCAGAAACTGACTTTGTTAATGATACACTTTTTCGCCTTTACCAAGCACGGAGAAGAACAGGGTAGTATTCTGCCTACTTACGTGGTTTTGAATCGCAAAACCTTTGAAAAGCTGGTGAAAGCTATGGATGCCCACCTCTCATCTAACTGCTCAGATACAGGAAATTTGGCTGACAGTTTGAGCTATTTCACAAATGTCTCTATCTCTTGATGTCCATCCATGGATCTGAAAGCCAGGCCTATTGCAGGCATTCACATACTTGTAGTCATTATATAGTAGGTGTTCAGTTAATAATTTTTAAAGGCACGAATCACTAAACACGTCACAGAGGGAAGATAGACACCCTATCAGCAAGTTTTAATCACAGCAGTATGCTATTCTTCCATAAATCTCCCAGCAACTCTAGAATTCTTTAATTCCTATTTTGCAAATGAGGAAATTGAGGCATAGGAGGATAAACTTGTTTTAGGTCATTTAACTTACTTATAATGAGGACAAGAATTCAAACCCATGCCTGAAATTCCAAAGCTGCATGTTCGGAACTACCAGCTAAAAAGACCTAGGTGCAGAAATGTATTTGAATGGTTTCTAGCAGCCTCTTTTTTTGGATTGTTAACTTGCAGTCAAGAGATGGCTGTTATCATAGATAATCCCAAACCAAACACTGCATGCTGTGGAAATACTCTCATTTCTCTGCCTCCTTTTCTTCTGTAGTATCTACATAGCTTGCTTAATGATGTCATATTTTACATCCTGCACTCTGTGCCCATGTTATTCAACCCTTTTATCTTTGGTGAATACCAGTTCAGGTATGTTGACTGAATATGGCTCTTTCAGTTGTCTTACCTTATTCTTGCAGCCCTCCATGGTAGAGGTTTTTAATTATAGTTGAAATACGAAGTGAAATGTTTGGGTATTTTTTTTTTTCTTGTCTGTACTGCTTTTGAAGGGACTGTATTAGGGATTTTGGAAGCACTGACAACATGAATGATGTTCAAGAAGCCACTAACCAGCTCCTGGATGTGAACCTTCATGAGGACCAGAGGTCTATACAAGTGACAGAAAGTGGCCCCAGAAGTGAGTCTGAGCATCTCCAAGTCACTATTGGAGCCACTGTACCTACTGGTTTTGAACAAATGGCTGCAGATGAAGTGAGAGAAAAATTGGGGTCATCATGCAAAATCAGCAAAGACCGGGGCAAGATATACTTTGACATTTCAGTGGAAAGTCTGGCTCAGGTTTGAATGAAGCAAATTTAAAATAGACTTCTAAATAGGTCATTTTGTGGTTACTTTTTAGTTTACAAACTCCTCTGGAAACTTTTTTTGCTTTTCTTTGCTTTGCCCCAAATCCAGTGATTTTAAAGTATTAACTGCATTTTTTACTGGGTACTGATTTATAAGTTTGTTTAGTAGGTTTCCTATACTTTTAGAAGTGATTCTCATGTTCTCTGAGGATGAGTTCACCAGAAAGAATTCTGTGTGACTTTTGAAGAAATTCTTAGTATCTGCTACTCATCTTTGAATTTATTTACTTAAGCATCTAGCTGAAGTTTGGCAGTCGACCTAAAAGAGATTTTTCTTTTAATCTTTGTCAACTTCTTAATCAAAAGTAATTAGGAATCACTGAGGATGAGAAGTGAGGGTCAGCAGACTGCCATCCCACTAGAGTAAAAAAAGCTAAGCTATATCTTATTATCACATATAGCAACATAAGGGCAGGGATTTATTTTTGTTTTTTGCGGATATCTCTCAACCTCTTAGTGTCTGGCATACAGTTGACACCCAGTAAATATTTGTGGGATGAACTTATAAGTATTTTCCTTCTAGTATTTTAAGCTAATAACCTCAGCAGCTTTGTAAAGAAAGGCACTATTCTCATGAATCATTAGGCTTAAGAATAATTTACCCAGGGTCACTCAGCTAGTAAACACAGAGCTGAAACTCCAAACCCTGTCCTCAGGGTACAGTGTACCACAGAGAGCCATGAGGGAAATGTAACAAAACCCAACTTAACTACCTTTCCTTCTCCCCCAAACTTACGTTGCCCACATAACACTTAAAGCTTCTGTCCTTCCATCTGTCTACCTTTTCTTCAAGGGTGGGGAAGCAGATAGGAGGAGAAGGAGATGGGAAAATTTTTAAATACAAATTATAGGTATTAGCTGCTTTGAAATCTGTGTACCTAATTCTTATATTTAAATGTTGATAGTTTGTGTGATTCAAAAGCTTTCTCAGAAATTTGTTTCTAACCATTTTTATCCTCTTTCCCAGGTTCATTGCCTAAGATTAGTTGATAACTTATTTGTGGTGGTTCAGGAATTTAAAGATTACCAGTTCAAAGAAACAAAGGTGAGCTCTCCCAAATGTGGTAGCTAATTAGAATCATCATCCCCAAAGACATTATTTTTCACATTCAGTCACTTAGCATTATACTGCTTTCATAACAGAATTTTGAGAGCCTTTTACAATAAAAGCCAGAGATTTGTTGACAGTCTATCCCAAAAGTTGTTTTTAAAAATCAGTATTGGGGTGACAAGTGAGTGAAATGGGTGGAGGACGTCAAAAGGTGCAAACATACAATTATAAATAAGTCATGGGGATATGATATATACAACGGAGACTATATTTAATAATATTGTATTGCACATTTAAAAGTTGCTAAGAGGGTAGATCTTAAAAGTTCTCACAAGAAAAAAATAATTTTATAACTATATATTGATAGATGTTAACTAGACTTATTGTGGTTATTTCACAATATATGCAAATATTGAATCATGTACATCTGAAATTAATATGCCATAAGTCAATTACATCTCATTCAAAAAATTAAGATGAAAGAATAAGAAAATAAAAAACAAAAATCCATATTGAAAAACATTGTTTGATTTTCTTCTAAGAGATACATACCTTAGGTTAGCTTTGCTGATATATATTGTATCAAAATTAAATTGCTTTCAAATTGTGAACCAAAGAGCAAGTAACAATTTACGTCATCTACATATGACACTTTCTGTCACTATTCTTTTACCCTGCTTTCTTCTCTAAATTCATTTTTTGAATTAAAACCAAAGTATTTAATATCTAAATACTCCTTCAATTGTTAGGACAACAGCTTTGTTTACAACTTGTATTTAGCATCTGATTTTTAAATGCTGAGATGCTGCTTAAGCTGGTTGAAATATACATTTCAGTAAGGCTGTAATATTTTTCCACACTGATTTTTGGTCACTTTTCCAGAGTCAACTGCTTGAAAACTTTTTTCTGTCACTTTTATTGCCTATATTAGAAATAATCTGTTTTTAAAAACCATGATATGCTGCCTTATTCTCTAATTTGTATTTACTGGCAACAGGTTGATTTCCGAAACATTATTCAAATCCAAAGTGATGTGAACCTACAGCCTAGAAAAAATAAAACCAGACCTAAATTAATTCAGACTGAAAATAGATTGTTTTATTAACTAAAAATATACTTTCAATACTAGTATTATAATCCTTTAGACTTCTGATAATTACTGCCAACTGAATCTTATCTATTAACTAGGAAATAACAGGCAGGCTACTGAAAATTTTTGCTGCTAACTATTTCAAAATTTTGGTATCGTATTCTATACATAAATAAAAGTATATAGGCGCAGAAAAAAATCTGAGTTTCCCTCCTAAATTCTTGCCTCTAACTTTCTAGGGCATTATTAAAATTTCCCCAACATAATAATGTTGTTTATAGGCAAAGCAGGGTTTTAAAATTTTAATTAAAGTGATAAGAAATTAATGAAATGAATAGACTCATTCTCTGTCCTTGATAGGAAGAAGTTCTAAAGGATTTTGAAGAATTGGCTGGGAAGCTTCCATGGTCAGACCCTTTAAAAGTATGGAAGATTAATAACAGTTATAAGAAAAAAAAAACAAAGCGCAAAAAGATACATCAGAATTCAAGTAAAGAGAAGATTGATAATGGACGAGGAGATAAAACTGATGAGAGAGATGTTAAAAAAGGATTTGCTACCAATGCCTCAGATTCACATATTTTAGATTATTATGAAAATCTGGGCATCAAGGAAGAGGTATCAACATTAGTAGGTGATGATTTGTCATCTTGCAAAGATGAGACTGAAGAAAGCTCAAAAGAAGAAACTGCTCCTGAACTGCTAAAGTTTAGAGTCACATGCAACAGAGCAGGAGAGAAACACTGCTTTTCCTCAAATGAGGCTGCAAGAGATTTTGGGGGTGCCATCCAAGATTATTTTAAGTGGAAAGCTGATATGACCAACTTTGATGTGGAGGTAGGTATAGGCTGTGATTATGATGATTCAAGAAGTTCATCATTTTTAGATTTTTGTAGAATTTTCAAACTAACCCCATCTGATGCACAATTAAGCTGAGGCCACAGAGCTACTGGGTGTGGGTAGTGAGAGCACGGGCTCCATATGGAGACATCTAGATCCAAATTTTGACTCTGTAATTGTATACCTTTAACAAGATATTCTCTCTGAGCCTGTGTTTCAGTGGAGCCAGTAACAGTATATACCTTTAAGTGTGTCCTGAAGATTAAATGAGATAATACTTTCTAAAATTTTGGTGCAATACCTGGTATAAGTTAAGTGCTCAATAGATGGGAGCTGTAAAGACTTGAGTTTTCTAGTTTCTAGTCTACTACTTTTTATAACATTACATGAACTTTCAGGTCATAAAATTCAACCAGAATTAAAACAGTTACTTTGGTTGGTTGTAGAGTTTTGCTACTAAAAAAAAAGTGGAGTACATTTAAAAAATAAATCTCAACCTTCTAAAATCAGATGTATTAGCAATCAGACATCATTGCTAATACCCACTAGAGCCATCTCCTCTTTCTTAAATTCTGCTAGATTCCCACACATAGATACCTCTTTTTAGCATGGCCTCAATGCTCTACTACAAGGTGATTCAAATGCGGGCTATACTAACTAGTGTTTAAATCTGACAGCTTAAAAGGCCCTAAAGCTGACATTCAGAAGCCTTAAAAGCTGACATTTTTACCAAGAAGTCCTTTTCTGTTGCTTTTGAAACACTTGAATCTGGGGCAGGTCACTTATTCTCTCAGTAACTTGTTTTTCTGCATATTAAGTCAGAAGAACAATCCCCCTTTCCTTTTTTCCTCATAATAGCCACTATGAGAGTGAACAGGCTAATAACTAGAACAGTGGTTTCCAAAAGTTAGTAAGGGGACTCAGAGGACAGATTCTGGAGCCATAGTGCCTGGGTTTGAATTCCAGTATATAATCTGTATATCTTTGAGCAAGTAAGCTGACATCCTTGTGACTCCATTTCTTCACCTATAAAAGAAGAATCATAATACCTAGTTAGCAGGGTGTGAATGAAATGAGGGAGTGAATGTCAAGTGTATAGAACAGGAAGTGCTAGATAAGCATCAGCTGCTGCCACTGTTAATCATGATGAGAAAACTTTAGGTGGGAGATTGGAGAACATATTTTTACTTGAATAGATTACATTTAGCAATGCATTAGAAAACTATAGGACAAAAATACATTAGTTCACAGACACTGAGTGAGTCCAGTTTTTTAAAAACACTAAGAAAATGACAGGTAATAAATGTAGCATAGTTTAATGGTTAGTCTAAGTGAAGGGTGTATTTAGGACTTCACTGTGACTGTTCTTGTAGCATTTCTGTATGTTTGAAATTTTCCCAAAAAGGTAAAATAAGCTTTAAAAATATGTTTGTATTATACAAGTTCAGGGGAAATCTGGTTGTAGCTAACTTATAAATACAGTGAATGAAAAGAAAGTCGATTTAAAAATTTTTAAGTAGTATGATTTAATTTATATGAGTTCAATAAAAGACAACTAATCTGTGGTGGTAGTGACCAGATTAATGATTACTTTGGTTGGTATTGACTGGGAGAAAGCAAGGGAAGCCTTCTGGCATGCTAGAAATATTTTGTATCTTTATCCGGGTCACAGTTTCACTGTATAAATGCATATATATATATATATATATATATGCATACACACACACACACACACACACAGGCAAAAATTCATTGTGCTGCACACGTTAAGGTTTGTGCAGTTTATTGCAAAAGTACACCTCAATAATAAAGTTTAAAAATTAATAAAGCCTCAAATAAAAAAATTTTAGTAATTAGTGCAGTTTGAACAATCCTAAAACTATTTGATTCTGTCTTGTTTTACTATAGGTTCTTTTGAATATCCATGAAAATGAAATTGTTGTAGGTATTGCACTGACAGAAGAGAGTCTCCACCGAAGAAATATCACACATTTTGGACCCACAACTCTTAGATCTACTCTTGCCTATGGGATGCTCAGGTAGGAGAATGGGTTTGCCATCCAGATTTAAATGACACCTTGGTTTGAATTTCCCCTTTAAAACACTTTACTTTTTTGTGAGGTACTGTGTTGGAATTTAGTGGATAAAGAACAGAATACAAAGCTAATGATCTTTTTCTTTCCGTTTTATCCAATGATGATTCCTTGTGATCCTGAAAATACTGCTTAATTACTGTCTCCATTTTCTTAATTTTAAAATGGGAACAGTAGTTTTCTTTTGCCTCTTGACTGGGGTTGCCACTTTCCTGTTTAGAAAAGATAAACTGTATGCTGGGAAATAGAGCAAATTCTGTTGTGTTTCATTTCTGTGCAGTGAAGCAGATGAAAGCAGAGGGTTTTTTTTAAGTGCTTACTGTGTGTAAATGAGCACAGAGAGCTTTCAAGTTTTACACTCAGAGCAACTGAGGCATCATCCTGGAATTTTCCACGTTTTCTGATGCAAGACCTAGCGTGCTTTCTCTTTTGCCCTTTTCCCCTCTCCTTGGGGGCTTCTTTCCACCACTGGGACAAGTTGTCTTCTCCAGATTTCTGTTTTCCACTGAAGAATGGGTTGACATGAGACTTAAAAGGATTATGAGTGAGGAGTAAATGCAGAAGCATATGCAAAATACCTGTTATACACAGTGGTTATGTAGGAGAGGAATTTATTAGAAAGCTACTGAGAAATTTTGGGGAATCCATAGAATACCTGAAAGCCATGTCTCAAGAAAGGAAAGAACCAGATCTTAGACAACCACCAGAAACCTACACAGTGACTCTGATCTCTCCTGGGGGCTTAGGGGCCCTTGTCCTTGCCCATCTGTGCGAAGGGCTGCCCCTCATCTAAAGTTACGTATTCCAATTTCAAATGGCCAGCCATTCTGCCTAGGGCTGCTAGCTCTTTATTCCCAATTCTTGGAAGAGACTGTTTGACCGACATAATTTGAATTGTGTTCACTGGGACCCAGCAGCAAAGGTGGGCAGTACAGGCTTGCTTTCTACCAAGAGTTGCCAAGGACCCTGTTGCCATGTGTTGAGAGGCAGAACAGGAGATAGAGCTGGACAAGGAATAAATAAGAATCCAGCATGAGACCCCAAGAATCTGTCTTGTGAGTACAATAAATAATTACCTTACATATAATAAGGACCATAATAGAACGTGGAAAGAGTAACACGATAAAAGAAGAAAAGAGAAACCTAGCACCCTGTCTGAGGTTGGAGTGCTTCATAGAGGGGGTAACATTTAAGCCACCAACAGAAATGCCTCTAATCCTCACTCTCACCTGTTAAGTGTCCTTGGACAGGTTTTGTATCGGCTAATCTATAAAATGAGAATAATAATAGTAACCCCACTTCCCAACGTTGTTAAAAGGATTAAATGAGATAATGCATGCAAAGAGCTTAAATCCATGCCTGGTGAATAATTTAGGGCTCAATGTAAAGCAATTATTTTATAGCAAAGCTATCTTTAAGAATAAATTCATAAGGAAAGGAATACTGAATGTCTAATTTGCCAGTAAACTTATATTGATACATGTTATATTTGAATCATGTTTGAGTTTTTATAATGTAACAATACATGTTTATATAGAAAATAACATTGTTTTCTAAAGGTGCATATATATGTATACACATACATGTTAAAAGATCAAGAAGCATTCTGTCTGGGAATGAAACAGGATTTCTGATGATAGTTAAAGGGGACTTTTAGCTGTATCTAATTTTTTTTTAAAGCACTAGGATATGTATTCAACATGTAATTACAAATTTATTTTTTAAATGAGTATTGACTGGTGTTTTCCTTCATGCTAGCATAATAGGTCCTTGATCTTACAGCTTTAAGAATAGTCACTGTGGAAGCCTCAGCTGTCGGTTAAAGTCTCTTTACATAGGCTATTTTCTTTTTATTAGGCTCTGTGCTCCTCGACCTACTGATATAATAGTTGATCCAATGTGTGGAACAGGGGCAATACCAATAGAGGTAATAACTTTTCTTTAGCTTTTAGTAAAACAAGTGATATCTCCAGAACTTGGATGGGCAGGATAGACATAATGAAATCACCAAGGTTGGGTCAATAGACCCAAGAGATTTGAAACAAGTACATTAGTAAAGCTGGAACTTTTGTGTAAAGGATGTAGCCATTTACTTCAAATAGCCAAGGACTAGACAGATTGTAACTGATATGTATTCAGCGAATTACAGAGGAGGCTGAGAATTACAAACTGATGTGCCCCTCTTCTGTAACAGACAAGCTGGTAGACTTTACCAAAAAAGGTAATTGAAGGCAAAAACATAAACTGGAGGAAGGCCTTTCATCTCTATAAAAGTGAGATTATGCTCCTTAACCCACTTAGGTTCTTGGAGGGAAAAATATAGTTGTAAAAATGAGAACCCTATGAACATTATTTAGATTTTTTTAGGAAGTCTTAACAGGTTACACATCAAATGCTCTTCCAGGTTACTTTGACCTTGAGAGGACTCAAAAATGCCTGAAGCACAGCAAAAAATGGAAAGGCATTTTCTAAGTGGACAACCTTTAACAGGAAAGTCTTCCTCAACCAATACTGTCTATACTTTTATGAATAATTTGGAGGTGGGCAGTCCAAGTAAAATTGCTTACATTTGTGAAACCAAGTAAGTTCTTACATATAGTATATACTTAAAGCCAATGGGAATAAACTGCAAGGAGAGAGCACAGATGCTATGAGCAGAAACTGGACAGATGAGCAAGTCCAAAGCAACGCACAAAGGAAAAAATAAGCCAAACTGCAATTAGAAAGTGCCATCTGTCATCTTGAAGTTAAAACCCCAGAAGAAAATCATAGTAGTCTAGATGACTGCTGTTTGCTGCTAGAGAAATTTGCTCTGGCTAAATTGACCCACACCAGACGTAACTCACTTATTGACAAGAATAATTCTGGGAACAGAACAAAATGTTCTTCTCTAGCATTAAACCATGGTGTTTGAAATAGCAGAGAAGGTCACTACATTGTCAATACACAACAGAGCTAGACAGAGTCCAAAAGAGAGCAACCAGGTATAGAAATAATGAAGAGGAGAATTAATATTGCACAGTGGCACAGATACATACATAGAGCCTTTGTTCCGAGCAGATGAGACAGCTTGGAGAGTTGGGGTTGATGTCACAGAGGGCATGACATTTGAGCTGGGTCTTGAAAGATGAGTAGGAGTTCAGCAAGCAGAGAAAAGAACAGGAGGGCATTTCAAGCAAAGGGAAATAGCAAAGTTGACAAAAATGCAGTATTTTGCCACTTTACAAAAGCATTGGATTATTGTATTGAATTGTTGGTCAACAGTTGAAATTATTTGCCCTTGAATCCTTTTTTTCCTGCAGTTCACTGCTTCTGTTTCAATATATATACTCTTCTCTTTTAGGGGGCTGCTGAATGGTCTAACTGTTACCATATTGCTGGTGATAATAATCCACTGGCTGTGAATAGAACAGCAAATAACATCTCATCTTTATTAATGAAGAGCCAAATTAAAGGGTAAAAATTGAGTTTTAAAGATTTTGTAACTTCTTTTAATTATTTTCCATACTGACTTTATGAATTAATTTCCTCAGTGCATGGTGACATCATTATAGCCAAAATGAACATATTGTATGACTCCATTTAAATTCTAAATATTTATTGAAAATAATTTGTATTAAAAAAGTTTTTTCATTTAACTATTATTTCCCCACCAAATGCAAGTATTTTTATTTGTCTCCCTTTTTCTTTTCCTTATCCATCAATCTTTTTTCCCACATCGAAGAATATTGCAGATTCATTTTTAAGTTCACAGATTTTCAGACATGTTTTTATAGTTTTTTAATGGTTGCTTAATGTTCCACTGTATAGAAATAGTAGTTTATTTAACTTTTCCTCTATTAATTGGCACTTAAAAAAAAATCTGAGTTGGAAGAGACCTGAAAGGTGTGCGCATGGTGCCTGTAAGTCCTATAGAAAGTCCTGACCCATGGCCTTCCAATTTGTGTGAACACCTCTAATGACTTTGCCTCTGAAGGCTGTTGATTCCATCTTTGTACTGCTTTGAGTGCTAGTCATACCTTTGAACTGAATCTGTCCCTGTACCTTCTACAGATTAGGGTTTTTCTCCCACTTGAGTCGATAAGGGAAAATCTCATCTCCATGTCACACAATAATTGGCATCAGTTATTTGAAGGGCTACCAAAACCACTCTCCCCTCATCTCACCCCTCCAAATCTTCTCTTCTCCAAGCAAAATATTCCAAGGTCCTTCAACCAGATCCCTTTGATATCTGTGCCTCTGGGAACTTTGGTTTTTTATCCAAGGTACATGTTCTTGTAGTATCCTAAGCCATAGTCCACTCCAAATTATATTCAACAACACTGTCTATACCAGCCTTTCACCATTCTCTCAAAATCTCGGCTGTCTCTGGATAGAATTGGTTGCAATGTCACTTGGTCTACAATTTTCTGATCAGAGGACTCATCATAAAATTGTTTCTCTGTTGTCCTTCATTTTCTTACACAATGGCACGAGGAGTAGGTAGTGGTCAGATTTGTTGGGTCTTACAGGTGTTCCGCATCCTGATTACACAGCCCAGGAAGGCATTCTCTCTCACAACTGGCCCTACCAGAGCTAGAAAGAGCTGCCTACAGAACCCTTAGTGGAAGGTTTACATTAGTACATAGGAGTTGCTTTTTAAAATACTCATTTTATGCAGATGCTGATATTTGTTATTGTACTTGGTATGCTTAATACTATTTTATGTCTATATTAGTTACTTCTTGGGTAATTTTGTTTTTCTCTTTTTTTTATTAGAATTGCCAGTTCTGTTTTGTTCTTTATATACTATTTGTTCTATGGTTTTATGCTTGATACTTTTTGTTTTATATTCTTGTTTCCTAATGAGGTGTTTATTTGTTACCAAAATCTTAACTTCTATGCTGTAAATGTTTTATTTTTAAAGATAAGTTTTTATAAGAGCTAATTAAGGATAAGTTTTTATTAGAGCTAATTGTCTCTGGTCTAGCTGTTTAGGACCATGCTTTTCAAACTTTAATGTGCATATGAATCACGTGGGGACCCTGTTAATGTAAAGATTCTGACTCAGTAGCTTTAGGAAGGGACATGGGAATCTGCATTTCCTAGTAAGCATTGGGCAGTGTTAATGCTGCTGGTTTGTAGCCCTTTTGAGTAGCAAGGGTTTAGCTGATTTTTTATACATAAATTGAAAGGGTTTAATCTATTTTGTATTAAATATTTACTTTTATTATGATGAGTGAATTTTTATGGATTATTGTTTCACATTGAGACTTTCTTGAGGCTTAGTACATGTGCCAGGGTTTTTTGAAACCTAGTAAACATTTTTAAACACATTTTGTATTTTCAGAATACTTACCTTGTTTTTCTATGCCTTGTATACTTTCACTTTTTGTGTATTTGACCTGTACTATTCATCAGTCTTACCTTGATTTTTAATATATTCTGGCTTATGTCTTTTGTTTTGTTGAAGTTACTAGTACCTGTGATTGCAATGCTATTTTTGATATTTGTGCTTCTCCATTATGTAGTGATTGTCTTTATTGCATTTTACTTTTTCTTAAATCCTTCATAAAATATTGATATTATTACCCGTAATTGCTACTCATAATCCTTGATTTGCCTTTCTCAGCCTGAGCATCACTGCCCATTGTATTCTGTTGCTTAAACCAACAGCTTTGTCTTAATTGGATTTAAAGCACTTTTATTATATTGTCTTGTCATTATTTTTTTCTATCTTAATTTTTTCTTTGCTTTTTCCTAGTATGATGTTTATTTTTAATCTTAAAGCAAGAACCTCTCTCTCTCTCTCTATATATATTTTTTTTGAGAGGGCATCTCTCATATTTATTGATCAAATGGTTGTTAACAACAATAAAATTCTGTATAGGGGACTCAATGCACAATCATTAATCCACCCCAAGCCTAATTCTCATCAGTCTCTGATCTTCTGAAGCATAACGAACAAGTTCTTACATGGTGAACAAATTCTTACATAGTGAATAAGTTCTTACATGGTGAACAGTACAAGGGCAGTCATCACAGAAACTTTCGGTTTTGATCACGCANATTATTATTATTATTAAAGAACCTCTATATTTTCTAATTTTACTTATATATTTCTACACAGGTATACCAGACTTTATCCTTTAGATATGTCACCTCATAATCTTTTCTCTGTAGGGTTTTCTTCTGTTTTACAGTTATGTAATTGACTGCTTCAGCACTGTTTACAAAGTTGTCTATTACAATTCTTGATGTTGCAGTCTGGTTTTAATGTTTTCTTAAATGGTAGATGAGATGTAGACATCTTTTGAAAACCAATCCTAACCATTTTTAAAATTTGTCATTGTTACAGATTGTCATTGTAAGTCTTATGACCTTATGCTTTCTACATTGATTTAAAAATTTTATCCAAGTTTTTATATTGTCACTGATATCATTTTAGTAGCATTTTGTACCTTATAAGCAGTCTGTTCAGAAAAGTTTTTTTTTCAATTTCATACTTCAAAATACGCTAAAGCAACTTTTCTTATCTCCCCACAGCAAACCTTCCTGGAGCTTGCCCATAGATGTTATTCAGTGGGATACCTGCAATCTGCCATTGAGAACTGGCTCTGTGGATATTATTGTAACAGACATGCCATTTGGGAAAAGGTAGGACTTGGTTTTTAAAAAAATGAGTTATACCTTCACTTATACTAGTACCACTTCTGTTCTCAATCTGTTGTATTTTCTTTGAGCTTATTCCATCAGAAATAACTCAGTTGCATTTAGACTTAGTTAGCAGAGCAGCTTTTCACTTCAGAATTGTGATGGATTCACCCATTTTGTTTTCTGATAACTTTAGGAGAGGATTAATGTAACCTTTGACCTTATCACAGGAGACATGTCCATTTTCTAGCCCACTGCTGAATTACATGACAGTTCACGTAAGAAGGTTGACTTAAACTTGGCTCTATTTCTCAGGATAAATTATTTGTATTACTGCTTTGGTTTATATAGTTTGGCTGATTAACTCAGTAAAAGGACTTTTTATGTAACTATTACAGTTGTCAAAAGGATTTTTTTCTGTAACAGATTCATCTGACTCAAAATTCTAAGCAGTTTACTAAGTCTGATCATGCATTTCATTGGCATATAGTGGCAAAGCCCTAGCTTCTAAAAAGAAAACTATTTTTCATACCACAAAAAATTTTAAATGTTAATTTTATAGTTGACATACAATATTGTATTAGTTTCAGGAATACAGCATAGTGACCCAACAGTTATATACATTAGAAAATGCTCACCTGTCAAAATTACCATCTGTCACCAAAGTCATTACAATATTGACTATATTCCTTATGCTGTATTTTCAGCCCTGTGATTTATTAACCTCTTAATTCCCTTCACCTATATATACCCCCATCCATCTTTCATCTGGCAACCACCAGTTTGTTCATGTTTTGTCTTTTAGATTCCATATGTAAGTGCAGTGATATGGTATGTCTTTTCCTGTCTGACTTATTTCACTAATGCTATTTCTGTATAGGTCCATCCATGTTGGCAAGATTTCATTTTATATGGCCAAGTAATATTCCATCATCTATATCTGTACACCAACTCTCCTGTCCCTCCCTCTAGCAATGAGTTTATAATTTCTCACCTCATATAGTCTTAGGTATTTCCTTTGCAACAGTGTTTAATTCATTAGATCTTCTTTTATAGGATTGGCTCCAAGAAGAGAAACTGGAACCTTTATCCAGCATGTCTGTGGGAGATGAGCCGTGTCTGTAGACCAGAGACAGGCAGAGCTGTACTACTAACTCAGGACAAGAAATGCTTTATCAAGGTGCTGTACATTAGTAAAAAACTCAGCCGGTGGCATCATTAGGATCTTTTAAAGTAGACTTGGGGATATTAGTTTGAGCAGCATGTTTTTCTTCCCCCAGTGTCTCTTAAACTAGCAACTTAAGACTCCCTGGTTGATCTAGAAGCAGATTGTGTGCTAATTACTGGTATGTGTTCTATGTGTCCACAGGCATTATCTGGAATGGGACATTTATGGCGGAAGGTGCATACTGTCTGGGTCAACACAGGGGGTCTTCGTGCTGCAGTTTATCTTCTGAAACGTACATCTCAAGCTTTTGTTTCTTCTTCAGAACAAGATGGAAAAAGAACTCCTTGGTAATGCAAAGAATGGAAATGGTTAATAGTATTTGTGCTTCCAACACTGGAAATGTCAGCATGAAGAACGTCCTTTGAGAAAAAAGTAGTATTAACAATTGCAGCTAGCACCATTTAAGCTGATCTAAAGATCTTCACCATGTTAACAAAAGATAAGAATGTAATGTGATGGGATTGAAAAAGTCTTTGGAGAAAGCAGAGTTTTTCTTGGGAGATATTCTGAAGGCATAACCGGGTAATTGGTACTTTGTTCTTAAAGTGCATTAAAGATGCTAAGGGATTTGGATTTAGAACATTTTGTTTTCATGCTTTGTAACAGTTCCACTGTAGCACGTAGAAAGCTACCTGGCCTAATAGAAAGGCAGAGAGCAATCAGCACCTTAGGCTACATTTCATTGCCTTTGCAGTTTTCCTGTTTAATTCTGAAGTTCTTTACCTCACCCTTAAAAAATGAAGCATTATTACATTTTGTGAAATAGTGTTTGCCCCATGACAAGATGGAATCTCTTAAGACTTAAAGGAAAGTTCACTATCTACCTTAAAAATTAAAATATGTACCTGTCATCCAGTAAATACATAAAACTAAAATAAGGTCTAGGATTTATCAAAGGAATTGTAAAGATACTTAACTGTTAGCATATGGGATATTTCTGTTTGTAAATTCCAGCAAACACATTGGCAGACAAAGTACAGGACCAACAAGCCAAATTTCAACAAATTTTATTTTTCTTTCAGTACACAAAGGTGGCAGTGCTTTTCAAAGTCAAATGTAAACACACCAAAAGTATTTGTTTGATGCTTTCTTAAAAGGACTAGAGGTACAAACTGATGTCTTTGAATTAAAAACTTCTGGAAGTTGTTTTGTCTTGGGTCACTTTTCATTTTTAGTTGCAGGAAGTATTCTTGAGACTGGGAAATTATATGATCTTATCAAGTCCTGTAAAAACAGTGCTTCCCTGGGACCAAAGAGTAGTTGGACTTTTACACTGGAGTATGGTTGACATATAATCTTATGTTGGTTTTAAATGTACAACACAATGGTTCAACAGTTAACCCATATTATTAAATCCTCACCCAATCTAGTACGGTTACTAACAATTCCTTATAGTACTAAGTTTATTTTGGGGTTTCTGGCTGCATTCAGCTTAGATTTTCAGTGTCATGTTAGTAATGTAATAGGACTACTACTGCTACCTTTTGACATCTCACATTTAGAATAAAAGGGACATGGTCTTTCCTTAGAACAGAGTTTATGTTAGCAGTGAAGCCGAAAGTTGTCTGGTTTCTCTGGATTTACTACCTCACACCTGAGAATGAACTAAAAAAAGACATTTACAAAGAAGTTTATATCCTGGAGTTTTTACTATCAGAATGCACAGTTGCATTATGATGGGTTCAACATAAAACCACCTTTCATTGCTGACGTAAACCATTTATACCTCAAGAGTGTTGATCAGCAGTCCACAAAACTGGGCAATACAGGGACCACATTTTTTCACCACTGTTCAGCAAATGCCTGGCAGTTACCTGTCAGACCAGACGCTTAATGTTTGTTGAACAAATCAATTACTATTCTTGCATACTGGCTTAATTTTTGTGAAGTATCTCAAACATGTGCTTGATCCATCACAGCCTTAGTCCTATTAAATACCACAGTAAAAACATGACCAGATTGCCTTAAGGTGATGTAAATATAGTGAGCATTGTCTGCAATGGCATGTCATCTTCCTTCCTGGTATTGTTTTGTAATCTGGTGACAAGAACAGGAAATTGGCTGTGAGGACCAAGAACTGGGATTCCACATGCTGCTACCACCTACTAGTTGTGTGACCTGTCTTTAACCTTAAATGTGGGCCTCCTGTACCATGGAAATGTGAAAAGGGGAAGGTAATCTTAATCTGAACACAAAGACTTAGTTACAGACCAGATACACAGTTACTGGGAGAGTCCATTTATTTTAGAGGGAAAAAAACATTTGAAACACAACTTATTAATTTAATGAAAGGAAGATAGTTATCTCCCAGAGACTTTGTTCCAGAGTCTAGAAAGGGAAACATTTGTTTAAGCCTTTCTTTTTGAATGTAGTAATAAGACTCAAGAAACAGCCAAAACTAGATTCTGGCTTATAAGTGTCAGATATAGTCACCACACTAAGGGCCAAATGATAAGCTGAAGACTAAGAAAAGGAAGTCTTTTGCAAGGTCTGTAAAATTCCTAAAGCACAGTAAAACCTACTGAGTGCTTGCTTACTATGAGTGAGATAGGCACTGGAAAAGCTTAACATCCTTATTTTCAGCATAGCCTTTCCAAAGGAGTTCAGGTGAGGTGTTAAGTGGGAGTTTCAATGGGGAAATGGTGGAAGTCTGAAAATTCTAACAGAACAAAAATCATTTAATTATTGTACCTTGGTACATTATATTTTTAAGTTCAAGAGAAAAGCAGTATATATGGGACTCTACCAAATTTTTTAAATGTGAAAACTATCATGGTTTACAAGAGGCCTACTTCTGTTAGCTTTGTGCTTTTGCTCCAAGGCTAACAGGTTTGCTAATCCGTTGTGAAGTTGCAGCTTTTCTATGATATATTCTATGATAAATGCAATTTTCACTGAACAGGAGAATGGTATTTTTTCTCAAGCCCAAATTTGGAATTTCCAACTGCCTACTATAGTTACCCTTGTGTGTCCCACCTCAAACTGCACATGAACATACCTGCACTAAACACTGCTCCCTGTCTTAGCATCCCGTTCTCCCAGTCATCAACGCTTACTACTGGGAGCCATTTTAGACTCTATCTAGTTACTCAACAGGTATTTGAATATTTACTCAGTATGTTGTTTGCTAGGGCAGCTGTTTGTCAGACTTCTTGGTCTCAGGACCCCTTCACATTCTTAAAAATTGAGGGCCCCAAATAGCTTTGTTTACCAATATTTTACCATATTATAAGTTAAAACTGAGAAAAAAATAGTTACGTGCATCATGTTAACATTTTCATGGAACTGTTTTCCACAAAGAACGACATTTTACTTTGCAGTTGAGTTCTCTCAAATGCCTGTCTTAACAAAGTGGCTAGATTTTGATCTGTATTCAGTTGGTCGAGATATGTTACATATTTGCAATTTTTAAAAATTTCATGTATTGGTCATTAGAAAATACTGGTTCACTCAAAGTACATAAAATCTTAATGTTAGTCCATTCATTATGTAATACCTAAAAAAAACTATGTTAACATCACCACTGGTCTCATGAAAAAAGAAAACAATTAAGCATTGGGAAAATGGCAAGCTCCTGACATTGGATTCCAAGTTTCCACCAAGTTCTAATTTTCACTTCAAATTTTGAATTTTATCATTGATAACAGCTGTCAGTTGCTTTCCTTTAAAAGCCCACTTCCTTCACATTTGAAAAAATACCTGCCAACCTGAAGAGCCAACTCTAACAATCAAAATTTGAGTCATTCTTGCAAGTAAAAATGGTGGACTAAGAAATAGTTCAGGCAGCTTGCAATTCAACTGCACGAGTGCTTTTTCTGTGACAACCATTGTACTTTAGCTTGTAGCAAAAGTATTGTATGCACTTTTTTTTTCACCACTAATAGTAAGTATTCCGCATCCAGACTCAGTAAAATAATTTTGTCACAAAGACATTCTTAAGTATAACTGACTCCCTCCCCTGTTCGTTTACACCACAAATGCATGTCAGCAAAGGACAGCCACTACACTTTAGAACCACTGCCTTAATTTATGCCCAGATGCCGGCAGTTTTACCTACCTCTGCTATTTCACCATCAGTGAAAATGTTAGGATGACCCAGGAGATTTTAAAATGTTACTCAACACTTGCCAAACTTTCACCTAAGATTCTCTGACTAATTGATGCTGATGCTGGGCAAATACAAGAAAATAACAAGCCCAGCCACGTTTGCAAGCACATCCATTTGTAAGGTCTAAAGATGCTTCTACATTAGATATTAACACAGACTTCACGTCTACACACAAATCTTTAATATGGCAGGTTCCTGTGTTAAAACAGTGGCACTGCTGTGATTATTTCCTGTCCATCCAGCAGACATTCAGCAATGTCAACTATGTGGCTTTTTGTAAAGTTTCTCAGATATCATGTGAAAGTTTCTCCAGCCAACGTCGTGCAATAATTTATCCTTTTACATACTTCAGTAACTTTTTCTTACTGCTGCTTTGGAGTTTTGATCCTCCTGGAGCCAGACAATGTTGTGATATATTAACTTCATCTCCTCAGCATTTTTAGACATAGATGATGTAGCTGTGACTTGGAACATATAGTCTTAAAATCTTTAAGCCAGTGATCCATTCTTAAGAAAACAAACTGGGGCTTATTTTAGAATAAAGCTATTAAATTCTAAGGTGTAGCTAAAGTTTTTTCTGGACTTACAGTTTTGAGAAAATATTTTAAAATCATTACCTGGATTATAGAAGTATAACCTAAAAAGTAAGTTAATTTCTAAAAGCACAAATATTAATCCCCCTACACCTATCACCAGAGGACATTGTGGAACATTCAAGAATATATGGTATTATTCAATTAACACCAGTGATGATGCCATTACACATCATGCAGCCTCTGTACCCTTGTGAGAATGTACTAAAAGGTAAATATCATCTCAGTATTAAATTTTGACTTCGAAGACCTCCATACACATCCAGTACCCAAGGAACAACATTAAAAAGTAGGGTGAAGAAAACCAATTATACAATTGTTAATTTAATTACAACTGCAAGAAGTACTATGACCAAACATTCAAATTGGAGACCCAGTGTAACAGTTGAGGGCATCAGGAAGGCTTCCTTGAGGAGTGATGTGTTGAGACCCTTCCCAGGTACTGGCATTCTGACATTAGTCCTATACTTACTATATATGAATTTAAGTGGTTTCTGTGCCTTCAAATTTTTCCATCCCTACAGCACACATCCTGTATCCTGCAGCCAGATTAAATTTCCTGTCACTTTCCACCAGATAAAGGCAGTACCTTATCTGCTAGGGAATAAGCAAATCAGGCCAGAATTTGAATCCATGGCCCTCAATTCATTGGTGTGTTTACAGAGAAGTTGTTCAACCTCACTGAGCTTTAATTTCCTACTTGGTAAGAAGGGGTTTTATTTATCAGGACCACACTAAATACTCAGCAGAGTTTGGCACACTAGGTGGTACACAATTGGCACTTAATATTATTCATTTCTTCTAACCTTTGTTTCAGTTAGCTTTTACCAATAGTATATGTACCAGATTATGTGGCTATTATTTATTATAATAAAAATTCTGAGATGAGATTTTAACCAAAGCTCAGTAAAAACAGGAAAGTCAGTGAAGTGTTGACCGAGGTGACCAGAATCCATACACTAGAGGTGTGGGGTGGGTTACCTGGTAAAATAACCAGTTCTATAAATGTGATTTAAAAAGGTGTTACTGTTATCAGCAGGAAGAGCCAATCCTGAACATAGTGAAAAACCAAAAAGCAAAACTGAGAAACTAGAAAACAAAGAGGGATTAAGTACCAGGACAAACTAAAGGTCAAGGGTCACTGTGAACTCCAGGTTTAAAGCTGGAAAGCAGGACTATTAAATATAACCAACAGTCCCTCTAGTCCTTAAGAAAGCATATAACACCATACCAGGAATAATTTATCAGTTTCAACCCTGGCCTAAATAAAATAAGCCTAACTACTTGATTCCATGCTACTAACAGTTAATAATCCAAGTTTCTTACCCATTCCATCAAGAATGGAAAGCCAAGGACAAGGAAAAAAAAATTTTTCTGGGGAAGTACATCGTCCAATATTAAGTAGTATGCCACTAGGTAAACTAACAAAAGCAAGAATTCTCAGCCTGCAAAGTAAAGTGGCAGACTCCTGGATATATGACCATCAGGGCTCTACAATTAAGATTGGCTTGAAACCGTCAAATTTGTCTTACCCTTGGGATGCTCATCCCTCTTATTCTGGATTAACAGTTACGCATCAGAATTATACTGGACCTCCTCCATGCATAAAAAAATATGGAAGAAACATTATGTAGTTCTAATCTTGCAAATTAAAAGCCCTTAGAAAATCTTCAACTTTCTCACATAAGTACAAGTATTCAATATACCTAATTTTTGTCCTAGAAATACAAGAAATACAGCTCTACTTCAAAGCGAGATAGGTAGCTGATTTATTTGAAAAGTAATAAAGGCCAAGGAAATAAAGTTCAGGAAGAGGGTAACTGCAATCAATGGTTTGTACAGGAAACCCAAGAAAGAGCTGAATGGTAGACAGCTGTATTCAGAGATCACAAGTATTAGTTTACTTTATGAATAGAATATTAGGATACTTGGGTTAAATAGGGCCCTAAATTTCTCTCCATAAAAGGAACTGTTTCTGTGTTTTGTGGCCCTGTTATTTGAAAACCAATCTCAACACATTTACTGATTACACAGCTGTTTGTTCAGGTACTCTGGAATCAAAATAAACCCATATCCTGGAAGAATTCATTTAGTGGGAACAAACAAAAAAGGGAGCACTTGTTCAAAAAACTACTTGGAATATTTTAACTTTTTCTTTAAAAGAAAAACAATCTGACCTCAAAAATTCCAAAACTTAAATATTACTACTCTTTGCCTCTCAGAATGTTTTCCCAGTCAGTTTTTTGGAAGATAAAAAGTAAATAGTTCAGTAAAAAATTAGGGACAAAGTAGAGGAGATATATAGTATCAGAGAGGTGAGGTGCTTCTCTCAAGTTGTAATTGGCATACTATAGCCCTGGGCTAAATTTGCAGTGTGATTTCTGGGCCTCCATTGATAGCAAATAAGGAACTTGAAAAAGACACAGAATTCTAGTGCCATTACCCTTCTGATGTCCTAACTAAATTCAGGATTCCTGGATGCGGGACTGGGAATTTGCCCTAAATAGCAAACAAACTGTGTGCACTGAAGATTTGAAGACCCCTATCCTAAGGAGAAATTTTAAGTAAAAACACTTGTCTTTCAAAACTGTACTTGAAATTTACAAGATGCTGTATTAGCCCATACATCAAAAAGTGTTCTGGTGTTAATTTATACTTCATCAGGACAAAATCTACTTTGTGAGGGTTTCCTGTAACTTGAGATACTTAGGCCCTCCTCTGATGAACATTTTTCAAAAACGAAAACTTGTAGGACTGAAATTCAGGGCTAGTTTCATTAGTATCAGATATAGTCCTGTTCCTCACTAACCTGTGTCACTATTAGTTTAATAAAACCTCACTTTCGTGAAATTGATTACACATCCTTTTTTTTTTGAAATCTAGTCAACACGTGCTTTCTCAACACCATTGTCCAAGGCAGGTTTATATTTAGTAATGGTTTGTTGGATTTAGTGCCCAGCTAAGTAAAGCTGAAGTACAGAAATGGGTAAAATGAAACAAGCAGTATTAAAAAAACCCTAAATGGGCCAGAGAGGTTCAACTTTTATTTCCTTGCAGCTCAGTATGAAGAGAAAATTACCAATGCCCATATTAAGTATTCTGCAATTCACCAGCAAGTTTGTGGCTACAGCTACACTGCCCAGAGTGGCAATTTAAGTTTAAATCACATAAAATTAAAAATGAAGTTTTTAGTCACACTAGCCACATTTGCAGGCTCAACTATAATATATGATTAGTGGCTACCATACTGGTCAGCAGAGATGTGCATTTGCATTACTGCAGCAGCTTCTCTGGACAGTGCTAACTCAGAGCACTGAGCACTAGTATGCACACAAGGAACTCTACTTGAGAGACCAATAACCTAGGAAACTTTATAAAGATATCTACACGTTGCTCACTCCATTTTATTTAGGGTTGGCTAGCCATTAAGGAATATACTAGAAACTTAGTGGTACAAGACTCAACAAGCGCCTGTGCCCTCAAGCAGCTCAGAATAATTAAGAGAATTTAAGCAAAGACAACAGCCTGAGAAGTGCTGTCATTCAACCTGCTATGGGATAAGGAGAAAACTGCTTTTTATAGGGGAGTCTGGCTCATAGGACAAAGGATCACAGAAGGCAAGATCACAGGGGATATTTGAGTCTTTAACAGTCTTGAAGAATAAGAAGCATCGAGGATAGCTTGATGCCAGAAGGTACCACCTTGCAGAGGTATGACAAAGTCACTATGATTTGAGTGAACACGATCAATTCAAGGTCACCTGGGTAGAGGTAGTGCGTGTGTGTGTGTACGTGTAAAATTGTGGCAAATGAAAAAGCTATTAAAAGGAGGCTATCCTCCACTGAGGGGCCTTCTAGATCATCACACTGGCGATGATGGCATTCATCCTGTAAGTAGTTAGGAGCCGGTAAAGGAATTGCAACAGTCATTTTCATGCTGTTACGACAGTTGTTCTGTCAACACATAAGACGATCAGACAGTAATACTGGACGCAGAGACAACAGTTTGGAGGCTATTGGCATCACGGCAACTCAACTGTTACTGACTGACTGGGAACAGATAAAAAGAGACGGACTGAGAAGTATTCAGTCCAGAAGGTAAAAGATATTGCTGAACCTCTTACTCAATTCTCAGTTAAAGCATCAGTCAGGGACACCCAGACTGTGAAGAGGGTCAGGGGTAGAATCCTATATAGCTGAGGAAAAAGGATGAAATGAAAAGCAAAGCAAGCATTCAAGAAAATTCATAATGGAATAAACTCATTTCTAACTAAGAGTGAGGCCTCTGCTCAGGTTGGGCAGCCTTAACTGATGGTGGAACTACCTGTATGGTTATGACTCATCAGGCTACCAAAAACAGGAAGGGGAAAGGGCAATGGTATATATGGGTCGTGGATGAGCAAGTACAACATAGAGAAAATGGGCTCAAAGTATTGAGGGAGAGTTGCCAAGATTCCTGACCCTAGGGATGCAAGGGAGGGGCCTTTAAGATAAAACCAGAGATGCTACTATATACTCTGATGGCATAGCCAAGGGTCTCAAATGGGGTGAGTAAAAAACTTGGGTGATAACGTCTTTAATCTATCTCCTTTAATCTCCTGGAAAATATCGCAAAAAGATCTTAAGGAGTAAAATATGCAGTCTTGTTGCATAAAATCGGTCCCACATGATTACCTGGACTTCATTTCCCTCCTCCAACCCTATTATAATTACTTTGTGACACAAACTTGAATCTGTGGGAAGAGAAATTTGGCTCACCATCAAAATCTTAAACCTGCGCAATCCCAAACAGGACAACGCCCAGGCACCAGGTTAAGCCTAAGCAAAAGAATCCCGCCCATAATCGGACTCGACATGGAGGTGCTGACGAGATCACGCGGGAGGGAGGGATTCTTCTAGGCCCAGGGCGGTCCTTAGAAGACAGGAGACAGCAGAGAACTCCCATAAAGGTATTGCGGCACTCCCCTCCCCCTATCCAGAAGGGTGCGGCCTTCTCTCCGCCTCCTCCACTGCACGCCCTCAGGATTGCAGCTCGCGCCGATTTTTGGAGGACCTGCGCCTCCCTCCCACAAACCAGCAGGACCGACCCCCACTCTTCCGCCACCCCCACAGGTTCCGGAGCAAGTCGGGCCAGTCTCGCCCTTTTAGCCAGCAGCCACGCGGGGCGGAGCCGCGACCATAGCCACCCAGAAGCATCGGCCGGCAGCCCGCCCCCCGCCTCCAGCGACCGTTTCCTGCCACGTTGCGCAGGGGCGCGAGGCCAGACACTGCGGCGCTGGGCCTCAGGGAGGGCCGTACCAACGAACGCCTCCCCGCTTCCCCCGTCGACCCGCAGTGGTTTCGCTCATTTGTGATCCGCGCCAATAGCCAAGGGCTGTTCCCCGAGCTTCAGCAGCCAATGAGATGGGGAAGCCGATCAGGCGGCGGGTAAACCGACTCCACAGAAGGAAGGGGAGGGCAGCAGGATGCCCGCGCGAGAGCCACTTTCACTGACCCTCCCTTCTCCCCCCCGCTGGAAGCCGACCGCGCCCGCTAATCCAGCTCTCTCTCCACTCCACCTACATACCCATCCACCCAGGGAGCAGCGCGAGAGCCCCGCCGCGGCTGCGCACTCCCGAGGCTGTAACTGACAAGCGCTTTACACCAACCAAAACACGCCATTTGTGTTTTCACACGCGGCGGGAGGAGAAGCGGCCTATCAGTGATGAGAGGCGAGCCGGAAGCGATCGTCCCTCTGCAGGAGTAATGGCTCTGTCCAGATTCGAGTCTTTTCCGCTTTCTCCCTCCTCTGTTTGTCGCAGGGCGGGCTATATGCCCGCTTGCCTCTAACCACCTCTCCTCTCTCCCCTCTCCAGCGTAACAAACGTTATATTCCCGACTCCCCGCGGGAGAAGACGACCCCCGGCTACCGGTCAGACGAACGTAACCACCCACCCCCAATCCACCGGGCCTCCCCCCTCCCACAGCTCCGTTCCCCTACCTAGCCGAGGCTCTCTGAGGAGCTGGAGCCCCAGAGTACAGTCTCTTCTCCAAGCGGCCCCGGCGGCTTCCTCTGATTGGCGGCGAGCTGGCCAATGGATGCGGGGTGGTGGGCGGAGAGACCAATGGCGCGGCGGGAGGAGGCGTGTCCCGGGTGCCCCTGGCGCCGGCGCTGGGAATCCCCGTGCGGTCAGTGGCGTTTCCGCTCGGGCAGCGGGCTGAGTGAGCTGCCGCTGCCGCCGCCGCCGCCGCCGCCGCCGCCGCCGCCGGGGGAGGGGCGGCCGCCGCCCGCCTGCGCTCAGAGACTCACGCAGCCCCAGTCCCGCCAGTCCGCCAACACTGTAGTGCCGGCCCCCGCCCTCCTTCCCTGGCCCTTCCCCCTCCCCGCCTTTGGCTCGCTCCGCCTTTCTGTCCCCCACCCCCACCCCACGGGCACGGGCCATTCCCGGCCAGGAAACGCCGTGGCGCCGCGTTGGGCCTAACTCGAGTCCTGCTGCCTCCCGGGAGTGCCGTGCGCCGCAGCCCGGGCCCAGGCCCCGGCAGCGCCTGGGACAAGGTAAGGGTCCGACAGAAAAGAGAGACCTACGCTCACGATCGGGCCCCGCGGGAGGAAAGGGTCACCTCCTCCGTCTCCCCGAGCTTGCTCTTTGGACGTGGGCCTGGCCCTTCCCAGGCTCTTAACAGGAGGATGCTGCCCCTTCCCATCCCCTTCGTCAACCCCCGCACACCATTGCACCCCTCTTTCCCAGGGAGAGAGGCTCCTTCCGTAATCTGATCGACCCCACTACCCTTTTCATGAACAAGCGCTTTACACCAACCAAAACACGCCATTTGTGTTTTCACACGCGGCGGGAGGAGAAGCGGCCTATCAGTGATGAGAGGCGAGCCGGAAGCGATCGTCCCTCTGCAGGAGTAATGGCTCTGTCCAGATTCGAGTCTTTTCCGCTTTCTCCCTCCTCCGTTTGTCGCAGGGCGGGCTATATGCCCGCTTGCCTCTAACCACCTCTCCTCTCTCCCCTCTCCAGCGTAACAAACGTTATATTCCCGACTCCCCGCGGGAGAAGACGACCCCCGGCTACCGGTCAGACGAACGTAACCACCCACCCCCAATCCACCGGGCCTCCCCCCTCCCACAGCTCCGTTCCCCTACCTAGCCGAGGCTCTCTGAGGAGCTGGAGCCCCAGAGTACAGTCTCTTCTCCAAGCGGCCCCGGCGGCTTCCTCTGATTGGCGGCGAGCTGGCCAATGGATGCGGGGTGGTGGGCGGAGAGACCAATGGCGCGGCGGGAGGAGGCGTGTCCCGGGTGCCCCTGGCGCCGGCGCTGGGAATCCCCGTGCGGTCAGTGGCGTTTCCGCTCGGGCAGCGGGCTGAGTGAGCTGCCGCTGCCGCCGCCGCCGCCGCCGCCGCCGCCGCCGCCGGGGGAGGGGCGGCCGCCGCCCGCCTGCGCTCAGAGACTCACGCAGCCCCAGTCCCGCCAGTCCGCCAACACTGTAGTGCCGGCCCCCGCCCTCCTTCCCTGGCCCTTCCCCCTCCCCGCCTTTGGCTCGCTCCGCCTTTCTGTCCCCCACCCCCACCCCACGGGCACGGGCCATTCCCGGCCAGGAAACGCCGTGGCGCCGCGTTGGGCCTAACTCGAGTCCTGCTGCCTCCCGGGAGTGCCGTGCGCCGCAGCCCGGGCCCAGGCCCCGGCAGCGCCTGGGACAAGGTAAGGGTCCGACAGAAAAGAGAGACCTACGCTCACGATCGGGCCCCGCGGGAGGAAAGGGTCACCTCCTCCGTCTCCCCGAGCTTGCTCTTTGGACGTGGGCCTGGCCCTTCCCAGGCTCTTAACAGGAGGATGCTGCCCCTTCCCATCCCCTTCGTCAACCCCCGCACACCATTGCACCCCTCTTTCCCAGGGAGAGAGGCTCCTTCCGTAATCTGATCGACCCCACTACCCTTTTCATGTCTTTCCTGGGTCAGGACGCTTCCCCTCCCCCACGCCTCTTCACCCCTTTTCCTGGGAACTACCTACTCCACGTTTACCTTTTAGTTGAAGATAGGCCTCTCGCCCTTCCTCTTAAAATACACAGGCATACTTTTTTCACCCCTATCCCTCACCCCACCCGTTCGCGCGGCCTTGTGACAACTCTGATCGCTCTGGGGGCCTCAATCTCCCCACCATGATGTTGGACGCCTTCCCTGTCGTCCTCGGGTCCCCATCTCAGATGATTGCGTCCTTTCCCACACTGAAGACCTTCCCTTCGCCACCCCCACCTCGCATTCCTGGGCTTTCAGTGGCGTATGCCCCAGTGTCTCAGAGATGGCCCCATTGAATTTGTAGGGTTCGAGCTTGGAGTTGAGCCAGATTGTGTCGTTTTCCCTGTTTTTGGGCGTGGAGACGAATCGTTAGAGAACGTCTTTAAAGGCAGGAAAATTTACCCTTTACGAATTCCCTTTCCCTCTGCGTGGAAGCTAGGGATGCGACGTGAATGGCGGTGAGAAAAAGACCTCGTTTTTAAGTAGGTGAATCGCGTGAGAGCGAAAGTTGAACTGTTGGGAAAACCCCTTCTGTGCTAATTTATTCTGTGGAGCTCCTTTGCCTGTCTCACTTCTAAAGAATAACTGGTCTTTCCCTTGGAGACTGATGCTGCAGCCAGCTCTGCTGGTCTGGGTCAGGGGTGCGTGTATGACCTGCATTTTCTGCTTTCTCATGTTACTTGTGCAATGTGTTCACCAGTAACTCATTTCTTGTCCAGAGCTCTGTGTTCCATTGGGCTTTGTTTTTACTTTAGTTCATTTTTCCAGTTTTCGTCCTCCTCATAGTGACGAAAGAATCCCCAGGTTCTTTACTAATTTCCTTCATCATTTGACAAACAAGTTGCTTTTAAATGACATATTTGTGACCAAGGTCATATTTCCTTTTTTTATTGAGCAGATGTTACATAGCTGTACTTTCGATTGGGGAGGATCCAACTGAGCTGAGTATTACGAGCTTTTCAGGAGGATGTGTGTGTACCCCCATTTGGGAAAATTTCTTAATGGTTAATTTTATGTCATTAATGTTTCTAGGTAACGCTGAGAGAAGTTATAAATGATAATTTTAGATGTGTGGAATCTGAGCTAGGACTAAAGCAGAGAATATTCATATAATCTTAGGTTTCTGGACCCCTTGAAGGACACGGGAAATTTTTTTTCACTGGATTTCTTCCAGTTTTCTCAGGAGAATCGTTTTTTTCTATAGCTAAAAATTCTGGCCTGTTACGGGTTTAGAGACTTCATGGTTTACCCAGCTGTCATTATGTGTAGAAAAATTAATTATGTCCTTTGATAGGACATTGCACAAAGCTGTCGCTAGCTATAAATTTAAATTTGACTGTAAAGAGAGTGTTTGGAAAATTAGCCTTTTAAAGACTAAAGCTTAATCTTCACTCTTAAATTGCTGGCTTAATTAAGATAGATGTTTGGAATTTATCTGGTAAATGTTCATTTTTCTAACAAAGGCCTTAGTTTAAAACTAAAAAGGTGATTTTAGGATTGTTTCCAAAAGCATAATTCTAACCTTTCTGGCATGGAGCTCTGGTCCAAAAAAAAAAAAGTGTGTGTAAGGAGTGGGGGTGGGGTAAGAAGGTTGTTCCTTTGGGTTGGATCACAGGGTTGAGTATACAAGGCAGCAGCAGCTGCTGGCTCTGGAGCTCTGGTTGCTACGTGAGAAGCTTGAGTAGTGCTGGCTGCTGTCTCCAGGGAAGGACAGCAGTGCAGCGTCCATTAATGCTGTGGGCTGCAGGGAGCTGTACTCAGGCTATGGCTGCTTCAGGACTAAGGAGAAACCTTGCTTTCTTGGGAATTTTTGTTGCTGAGCTGGTTGGCATTTTATTAGTGGGGAGATGATACTTAGCAATTTATAACCTTCTACCCACTTATGGATATCAGCTTCTGGAAACTGGATTAGACTTTTTTCTTTTTTGTATTGTTTTTGTTTTTGTTTCTGTTTTTTAGCAGATTTTTGGTTTTTATCTAGAGATTGCTGCTCATATAGGACTGAAAGTGCCATCAGAGTTAAATTTTCAATCTAATTAAGACCAAACTAATAAAAATGTAAGGATCTTCCTGAAACTAGAATGTGAAAAATACCAGTTCTTTTTTCTGGATGTTTTCCTGCCCCTCTTTAATCGTTGAATCAATTTTGATATTTTGTTGTTTGTGTCTCCTTAGTTGTTAGACCATATTTAACCTTACTGAATAGATGTTTTACTGTTTTACTAAACATTTTACTAAATTTGGAATTTTAAACTCTAAAAAGAACTGCCCTTTGAAATGACTTCTAAATATAAATCTCAGAAGTCTTCTCTTAATTTGTTTCAGTCTTTCCCCAGATTAGATTATTTCTTTGTAATTTGACCTACAAAATTGATGCATTATATATGTGTTGGGTATCATATTCCAAGATCACAAGGATGTGTGTTTGGCTCTGATCCATCTGAAACACAGGGCAGACCAGAAGGAATATTCAGGAATCAGGTAAGTCTAGTGTTCAGGATACTTGAGAAGACAGCCTCCGAGCCCCTAGTGTGGTCCCCCCTCCCTCACAGCTCCTGCACAGTAGGAAGATCTCTGATTAAGCAGAACAGTTTGTTGAGTTTGAAGCACTTGGAGAAACCCCCACCCAAATATACACCATCAATTATACAATACATAACAGATGTCCATGTGTTGTTCACTCCCCCCCACCCCCTGCAAGACTCTTGCATCTTTTTTTTTTCCCCTCAGAAGTTTGATATGTTCAGTTTTGTATGAATGTATATTAAAATGCCACAATCATCTATAATGTGTAGTATGACTGGCATTTGTGGCAGGGAACCAAAAAGAATGGAAATTAGTTTTGTCATTCACAAATGTGGTTTGCATTGTCTCTCAGTGATACAGATTCATGAAACAGAACCTTTAATGGATATAGTTTAAGTGGTTCTAATTCTTATTACTAGTGCACAGACAAATGACATGTCAGATAATATGTTTTCACCCATACTAGCTGTTGAGCATTGTAGATATACATGTCTTTTAGTTTAACTGATAATACGAAAGTTACCTTAAAAATAATTGCTTTTTCTCTTGTATTTCCTGTTGTTTGGAATCCATTGTGATATTGATGTGATCATTTTCTGAAAGCTAATGGAGGCCCTTTTCATAGGGTATATTTGACCAGTGTGCTTGAAATTTTTTATTCTTCTGATACCGTTTTGTGTCCAGGAACTTAAATAATTTCTGAACTTACTCTGGCCTTTCAGGAGACTGCCTATTTCGTTTTTTGCCTTTGGACAGGAAGCTAATGTAATACAAAAGGCAGTTTACCTTATCTTCCAATTGAAATAACTTCCTGAAACATTAGGCCATAGTTGTGACAGTCCATGATTATTGGATACATCTTATCAATGAGAAATTGGATGATGAATAGAATGAAAATTTTTCTTAACTACTAATGGTGATTTGTCAGTTTAATTTGAAACTAAAAGGTCTAGTAGTGGTGAATTTTAGTTATAAAAATTATTTCAGGTATTGAAAACTAAAACTACTTTGATAGGGATATTTTGTTTAAGAAAACTTATTTTGACTCTGAAAAATGTGAGACAATGTATATTTAGTAGTACAACTGGCGGTTATATTTAATTTGATTGAAAACATCCTTTTAGAGGCACTCCTTAGAAAGTTAAGTGGTGTGAGTGTAATGTTCCAATCT